CCATTTTCCCCCGCCGCTCGACGGGGGAGAACGGGGATTGTGCTAGCAGGGATGGAATATTTGCTCATTTCGTTTTTTTTTGTATACACAGGTATTTTCCACTTATGGAATGTGCATTTTCCGATGCAGCTGTTGTAATAGTTTAAAGCACCAAGTCCTTGCAATTAAATACAATATGATTTTGTTTAAAAGACTACCATATCATGCATTTGTAAAACTATAAGAAAAAAAAATAGAAGGTTATGATCAAGATGCCTATTTTAATTTGGAGGTCTCCTTTTCTTCGTCTAATGAGTTAAAATTGTAACTTCTTAGAAAATGCTAAATTAACCTCAAAAAAAGGCAATTGGAATGTTTGCCAGCCGCTGTAGGCACAGCCTCAAATCTAACGTACTGTCGGCATGAAGTAGTTTGTGGTTGTTGCATGCAATTTTAGGAAAATTTCAGTAATTATTTATATTTGTAAGTGGTAGACGGTATTTCAGGCATACTAAAATATTTTTTTAAAAACTCCTGAACTCCAAAGTTATGACTAAAATGACTCCTAATTCATAGGAAGCCGTTCAATTCATTTTTTTAGCTGAAGGATGACGACTATTGATAGAGGTCAACATCTCATTTTGGCTTTTTTGCTGCTTATCTTCTACGTCTTCTTCAACTCAACCTACGCCAATCTCGTACAGTACGCTGTACTGAGTCCAATAGTCGAAGTTTTACCAGTAAATTTCCACCGTAGTCTTCCCGCATTGCACGAAATTATCCTCGAGGATGACTTTCGTCAAGCCCAGCAGGAAGAGTGGCGAAAGCCGCCAGCCGAAAGGCACTGTCCAAGCGGCACATTTTATCCCCTCCTACGGGCCTTCAACCAGAATGCCGCCTTCACCCTGAGCGGCAAACGGGCAAATACAGTGAGTCCGCGTGGAAACTGCCTTCCATGTCTTTCGTATTATAGGGACGCTTCATGCTGAAATGTGTTTTTCGGTAGACACACATGCATGCTTCGTATAGCCTACTTGATTGCTAACGGTATTTTAAAATTTGTCTGCTGAAATGTTTTTGGGATAGAAAATAAGGGATGCTGCAGGCCTTGGCTGATTGTTCAGTAACTAGTAGCGGGTCTTTGTGCTTCCTTATTTGCTGTCTGATTGTGAAACCTGGTCTATGCGCCACTTCCATCCCAAAAAGGTTGTAGAATTCGTGCAGTCGCCTGTGAAACGTTTTCATATAGGGAATGGCGAGCCAGAAATTTGGCTTTTCTTCGTTCGACCAAAGCACACGAGACTTCTTCAGGCACTTGCGGATGAAGTACTTTGGATAACCATTGGCTTTGCAAAGGGGATGTAGGTAATTCATGTCCTTATGCTTCCCAACTGCGTCGCTACAGTGCGCTTGAGCGCGTAGGAAGAGAGTTTTGACACAACTGCATTTCTAACCAACATGTTTGTTGCTTTATAATAAGAGGATGGGTTTGTGTTGGTTGCCTTAAGGTAGACCAAGGTGCTTATCTTTGTAATATGGTCGTCAAGGAAGGGTATCTGATTGTTGACTTCTTCTTCAATGGCACACCCGATGTCGGAAAAGATCGAATTCAACGATGCTCATCTGTAGTATGACGTTCACCTGTCGGTCAGTTTTAAAGTGAACGGGAATGGGGAATAATGAAGGAATAGGTATGGAAATTAACAAATGCGTATGCGCCAATCATGAGATCAAGCTGTCGAAATCGCTAAATGCTTCGTAAAGATCCTAACTCCTCCGCATGTATGACTCAGATGAAATGATACTTTGATACTTTGCATGAAAAGTTTTACAGCATGATTTTGAGATTCCGCTTAAATACCGTTCTCCCTTCCCAGACAGCCAACGTCGAAGGACCGGCAGCTGCAGAAACTGCCCCCCTAATATTCATCGACCGACGTTTCTACTTCCCATTTGAAAGCCAAGAAAATTGCCGCCATCCATGCCGGATTACGACGGATCTGCAGCAAGCACATAACGCTTCTGCAGCAGTTTTTACACGCACCCCGACTGCGGCAATGGCGAGGATTCTGAAAGGAGCTGTTTGGGCATTTCATAGCATGGAATCTCCGCTGCGAATGCACGAGGTTCATCCTGACTATAAAAACAACGTAAGTTCTTTGTTCCACAGCTGTCTTGCTTGTAAACCCTCATGGTATCCCATCCATTTTCATTATGCGTTCTTATTTTCTCATTTTTTAGTCATCATTATCGACATCATCATCATATTCTTCTTCTTCCTCACCATCATCATCAACAATATCATGATCGCCGCCACTCCCACCCTAATCATCACCATCACCTTATATTTATTCTGCCCCCCAACTTTGCTGCAGTCCTGCCGAAAAAATGTAAATTCGAGACATATTTGCTGTGATCTGCGCATTAAAATCTAAAGTATTGTCGTCACCCTTACTACGCTAAAATATTCGCCTTCTTTGCCTTGTGAAAAGCGCTGTCATTGTGTGCTTACACTTATAAAAGTTTTCCCTCAATGAATGAATAACACTGCCCAAGTCAGCTTTAGTAATTGTGTTCATCTTGAGATCTTCTGAAGGTCCAACCGAGTGAGCCGGTGTGCAACTGTAAGACTGTAACATAAATGGCTGTACAAATTGCCAATGCAAGCGAACATGCGAGTCTCATGACAAAATTGAGAAGAAGACGACTTGATCGCTGCTTTATCGTCACAGCGATCGAGTCGTCTTCTTCTCAGCAGTACAAATGCTGAATTATGTACCAAACTGAAAGCACAGGTACTAGCTAAACCCTCAACCGCGTGTGTTACCAATTTTGAGAAGCGACATAATGTAGCCGAGTCGTATTCTATTACCCAGCGCGTTTTTTAAGCAACCCCAGATGCTTTCTGCTACGCAAACTTCAGTTTCGATGCTGCTTACTTTTAGTAAAAAGATACCGTACAGTTTGTGTGCGAATGACAGGATATCACTTTAAACAAAGCATCTTAGGGTCAGTTCGAATGTCGATATGATTATTTGAGCTAAATTACTTCATCTACTGATAATTATACACTTCATTATTAACAACACCAGAAATAGTTTTTGTTGGCTAAACCTGTATGCAATGATGTTTGGAGTAAATGCTCATAATGAGTAAATGCTTGATCGCTACGTATCCGATAGGTTGAATAAATAAGCTTGTCTTGCGCAGTTCTGGTTTGAAACGCTCATACGTTTACATTCCCACTACAAGCATCCTTTGTTCGGAGAGCTTTAAATCTATCGCCAGATGAGCAATATCAAGGCCTGGCATACCATTTTTAAGCGATGTTCGGGCCGGGGAATTACTGCTGTCTTCCGTTAGTAGCGACTGTGAAACCACGACGATAAGGCATTTCCCGTCTTGTGGGTATTTTTTCTTTACCATTTTATCCACTCTCCCCTCCTAGAGATTTCTTTCCTTGTGCCCACATAACTGGTTGTCTAGGCAAATATTAGTTGGAATGGAATACTAGTATTCTATCCATTCCATTTCAAACACAACAACTTTGAGATGTGTTCAGGTTCCTACTCAATGTAATTTAATAACTAAATGAGCTCCATAACAGTGTGCTACTGTACTTTATTTCACCCTTTTTTTTCAAAGTGTATATATGAGTGACTTGACTTCACTGTGTGCTATCTTATTTAGGGTCTTTCTCCTGTCAGTCCTATGCATATTTTCATTAAGTGTACGTGAGTAGGATAAACGACCTCCTCATCAATGGCTATTTATTGAATGCCACAACATAGACTGATATAATGACAAATCTGAATTTCTTCTCGGCCGTATACACCCATTTCGGATGAAACGTTATGAACGAGGTATAAACAGCAATACTTGTCATCTTGAAGCTTAATTTCACCGCGGTGCATAAATTATCCTCTTTCACAAAAATAATGCTGGAAAGTTTCACGGTGAACGAGGGTGTTGGAACCGCGCTCCTAAAAGCCAGTCGAGGCCCTGGTCTATCTGAAGTATCAAGGTCATTCAACGTCCAAGTGAAGATGTACATTGCTCTGGTCTTGGCAACGTAGACACATAGTTTATGCCAATATTGGTTTAATCGCCCCAACTTCAGAACCTGCCAAAATCAGACCACATGAAAGCATCCAATTGTTTGAAAATAATTTAATTCTCCTGGTTAGGGGCCAGTGGAGGTAGTGCTCAATTAAATTTCCACGAAACCGGAATTCTCGCACCCT